TGGATATGTCACAACATATTTCTTCTTCTTGTTTCTGTACTCAGGTATCTCCTCCAGTTTCGCAAGAAGTGTTTGAACAAGAAAAGCAGTCACTTCTTCAGGACGAAAAGGCTCAGGCTCGTTGTTTTTATTCCCATTTTCTACCATATACACTATATGATTATCTATCTCGTCAATATCAAATGTAAACGATTTCTTTTCATCTTCGGGTATTTCTTCAAGAGAAAGACCAAGTAGGCGCTTCGGGTCATACAACACATTGCTTGTTTCTGTCATTTTCTTCACAGCTTCACCAACAATAACTTGATTTGGAATAAATGAAACATAAGATGGGAGAAGCTCTTTGTAATCTAATTTTGTCATGTCTACTTCGAGAACTGTTGGTATCCCGTCCTGACCAACAACACAAATGCAACATTTGGTTGTTCCAAAATCAATTCCAACTTGAATATAGTTGTCCATGGAGTCACTCATTATTGTTTTGATGTTCTGATTTTTAATTATCATTTATTGGTTTTTATTATGTTTTTGTTATTTATAATAGTAAACATAACCTATCAAAAACTAAATAAAAAGAAATGTACTATAGCAAACATCATTTCAAAAATTTAATAAATATTTCATAACTTTAATAATTTATTATAATTAAAACATATAATTCACTCCAGATTTTATTTTATTTATTTTAATTCACTTTAGATATTAATAATTATAAAGTCAGTCGATAATAGTTGTCTGTTCCCAAAATGTTGTCTTTATGACAAAAAATAATTGATTTTTGTTTAAAAAAACGGGAATTAGGTAATAATGAAAAAAACTGGAAAAATATTGAAACAATGATTTTTGGGGTTAGAAAAAAAAATCCCGAAATATTCAATTTATAATAGTCTAAAAAACTGCAAACAACGTCATAAACCATACAACGTTAAGCAAATGACTCTATCTAAAGTGACAAGAACAAGTTAAATGCAAGTCTAAAATTAAATATATATTTAAAGTCTGATTTTTAATTAACGATGAAATAAATTAACTATACATTTAGTTTTTTAATTATAATCAATAGCTTTTATTTCGAAATAATTTTTTTTGTTTTATTTTTAAAATTTTTCACTTTCAAACCATTTATACATATTTAAAAAAAAGCAAGAAGAGTGGAATTTGCTAGAGATTCCTTTTTAAGAGAATTTTTAAGTTATATTAACAAAGCCAGCAGACCATTTATGATAGTTTACCATAAAAATAACATTGTTGTGGTGTAATTAATATGTGAAACCAATCGATTTAATAATCAAATAAAAAGATTGACAAATGGTGTTTCTTTGAAAATGTCAAATGGTACAATTTATTATGTATTTATGGTTTTTGAATCACTTTATAAATATAAATAATATTTATATAATATATATATGGTACTGTTTATTATGAAGGCTGAATATGTTTTGTGGAAATTTTTCTGTCCGAAATGGTAATTTGTATTATACTTTTTATTGTAATGTAATTATTTATAACTAATAAATTGATAGAACGCGGTTAGAAAGATGGAAGCGGTTTTATGCCCCTGTATTGTTTTTTTTTGTTTTTAAAATATATTTTAAAAAATATTTATTATTTATTGGAATTTACAGTCATGCGAAAAAGCTGTCGCGTTTGGAAAAACCTGTCTTGAAAAAATATTTTATAGTAAATTTATAATTACTTACTATACAG